TCACAGTTACTACTATTGAGCCAGGTACCACCTATACTGTACCTGTGCATTTTGTTTTTCTTACCTAAATGTAGAATCTTACTCTTTTCACCATTGAATTTCATTTGAATTTATTTTTATACATATCACTCCTTTTGTTAGGATCTCCAAGTTAACTCCTAATTATTATTTGTCTTCATTATTATCAACTTTGGGGTAGATTAGGCTGACTGGTTCAAAGTCATCCAGTGTAATGGGATGAAAGAATAACCTTGTGGAGCAAGAAGGGCCACTACCCAGAAAAATGGCCAAATAAAAGAAATCTGAATCTGGGCCAGAATTGTAATCGGAAAAAGAACTTCAGACATAACCCTCCCTAATTCTTATAAAGATAAAGAAGTGGGAAAACACATTCTGAGTTGCAAGATTCTGTTGCTGTAACCTTAGAGTAAAAGTAGTATTACCTTGCACGACTTTGACTTCCTAATCTGGTCTTCTTTGAAGGCATGCATCCAGTGAATAAACTTGTCTTTGTCCAACATCAGCACACTTTTCTAATGGGACTTTCACAATAGTTGAAATTTGAATTTTACTTACATAAATGATGATGACTTTTATATATGTAGTTGTACCCTCTAATGTATTTTCTAAATGCTCTCAATATACCAATCACTTCTCTTTTTTAGATTTGAGCTGGAAATACCTACCTTTGAGCACAAAAGGATTTGTTTTTAGATAAATATATAGAGAGAGTTTATACACAGAACATCTACTCCTGTCCTGTGCTGTTATAAAGTGTATGGTTTATACCTATAAATAAATACCAGGCATGGAATTCTGAAGAGATATATGGATGCACCATTCCTTCAAACGTATTTTGACAAATTTTGACAAACATGAACTTGGAATAGGCTTAATGAATGAATAAAATCATTATTGAATGTTTCACAAAAAGGAAAATAGACGAGGAATAGACAGGTGACCAAGTCATACTAAGGAATTTCTAGATAACAAATAATCTAAATCCAGGCCATAAATCAAAAGCCAAAAAAATGCAATGCTACATATGAATAGGGTTGACCTGAATATTTGTGCAAACGAAATTTTAAAAGGGCAAGAAATCTTTCAACTTCTGAGACATTCTTTTGAAGCATCAGTAATTGGCCCGTTCAATTTATGCATCATTCTGATTCACAATAAATCTTTTTCTTCCAAAGAAAAAATTATGTGCTTAAGTAATTCACTACAGGAAGTTCTTGGTTTAATGATCAGAAGTCTTTATAATCATATGTTGGGGCCATTATATGGCCAGAAGTAAATTCCCAGTCATTTTTGCAGAAGTCGTTGAGTGAACACTGAAGATATTAAGCAAGCACTACAGTTGTTAAGCGAAACCACTCATTTGAATGGGTGTTTTTTGCCGCAAAAACCTGCAAAAATCATTGGAAATCATGGTCAACTGATCCACGCAACATGCAGTCATGGGACTATGGAGGGGCCCTCATGTCAACAAGGAAGCACTTTATGAGCTGTATAGCACCCGTTTTATGGCTGTCATAACTTTTTATGTGTCTGCTCATAAAATGTCTGCTCATAAGTTGAGGACTATTTGTGGCTATTCAAGGAAGCGAACAGAATTATAAAATAAATGCTTAATTTAGCATATAAATTAGATATATTGAGTGAAGATTCTCTATACTTTGGCTACTGTCAAAAACATTTTACATTTAGTTGAAGTGTTCCTGCCAATATCCCTGACACAAAGCAGTTTTCCCTTGGAAACATTTCTCAGTGGTTTCCATAGAGCTAACATGAAAACTAAATCAAGCTTGAGTTGTAACAAAGCTAGTAAAGGGTCAGAAGTATGAATCAAGATGAATATGGTTGATTTCCATGTTATGGCATTTTCACAAAAACCATTTGACTAGTGTAGTAGTTTTATTCTCATCTTTTCAGTGACAGCTTCAATAAAATATATTTTGTGCTAGTTCAAAAGTTCTTTATTACATATCATTATCTTCTATTGTAGGAAAAGTTAGGAATCTACCACAAGATTGGCTTTAAATAGCTATGCTTCCAGGGGGCAGGTTGACATATAAAATTAAAAAGTTTGGGCTTCAGTATAATTAAGTTCTGTTTGAGATTTTTGTTATTAATACAATGAAAACTAATGAGATTTGAATCAAATAGTTCTATAGTGGACTGGTTTTCCAAGCAATCCCACAAATACTGTAGCAGTATCGTATTACAAGTAATTTATCTTTCTTAGATTTAGTTTTATAGACATCTGCTATTTTAAAGCAGCTATTGCTTCTAAAGTTTAATTTGCATATGTGCAATATAACTGTAAGCATCAGGATAAAATTTCTCTCTTGAAATTTTCCCTTGTAACTACATGAATGGTGACACATTTAGAAGAAATCTTTCCCTGGATATATCATGTATCATATAGCATGTAAATTCTATATATCAATATATCATGTGTTTTTCAAATGTAGCTTCATTAAAAAGATATCCCATTGAAACATTGGACTTTCCTACTAGTCCTGATGGATAGATTTCTGGAAAACAAGACATGAAACTTCTTAGAGAATCTTCAACTATCCTTTCTTTCTTTTATTTTCTAAAGAAATGAGCGTCTTTGAACAGTCAGAACTGTGATTACTGTTTAGTTGTTAAGCAAATGGCCGGGGAGGAGGAGGGACTGCCGGCTGGCTAAAAATAAATCTATTTCTGATTGTTAAAGCAGCAATTTTGTATGTATGCTCTACAGATTTTTGAAGGCAACACCAACTATGATACTCCTGAACTTCGCATCTTTGACCCATTGACAACCAGATTTATCCGTGTTTATCCAGAAAGAGCCACACATGCTGGATTGGGACTAAGGTTGGAACTGCTCGGTTGTGAAGTTGAAGGTAATTGCATAATCCCTGATAAATTTGTTTCATTGATTACTTTCCTATAGTGCTATTGATTCTCCATTAGCTTTTAATATTTAGCGTGATTTTAATCATGCTTTCCCTATCTTCAACTAGCATATTAGACTTTTTTTTGATGCTAGCAGAATTCAACAATTTCGCCGCCTCCTCTTCCTCCTTCTTCAAAATGAAAAATGAAGACACTAGTAAATGAAGGGGTCATTTCAATATGATTAATCCATTTAATTACAATCTCCCATATATTAAGTTTCTTAAAATCAGAGCCTTTCTTCAGACACACAATTAATACATTTTATTATATCTCTGGCTTAAAGATATGCAGACTTTCCCTGCAAAACAAAGTGAAGTGAAAATTCTAGGAACAATTTTTTTTAAAACATATGTAAAGTTCAAAGATGGGGCTACTCCCTCCCCCCCCAAAAAAATCCTTCCCTTGCATAAACTTGAGTAAATCTGATTCACATATTTAATCAAAATGAAGAACATTGAGATCAGAGTTGCCCACTTTGACTAAGGAGAATGAACACTGTTGTTCATCATATCTAGCTTTAGACTCCATATCTAAGGTGACCAGACGTCCCGCTTTTGGCGGGACACACCCGCCTTCCAACACATTTTCCCGCGTCCCGCCCGCCTTTTTAAAAGGCA